ATGGGAAAATTTCTGAGAAAGCACTTTCTACCATGGAAGAGTACATTCCAGGTCTTTTGAAAGAAAATGGGCAACTTTCTGTCACAGAAGACCATCAAAGTGAAAGTACTGGAAGTGAAAGTGAATCAGATCTAGAGCAGTGATCATTATCAAGCTGTTAAGTAATTAGTTTACATCACTTTATTAATCGTTAAAAAGATATATTTTACATTCTATTTTGACAATATACTGTTTGTTCGAGTCAGGAGAGGATCTAGACATTAGACCAAGAAGTGTCATTAAAAACCCATGTTTATAAAGAATGTGTTCCATATTATATTTACAGAAGAATGACTGTGACTACAGAGGAATTGTAGATTGACTCCTTGACCCCAGCATCTTTGCACCAAATTGTTTGACCCTCCCTTTTGTGCTTGCATGAAAAACCATGGCCCTCCCCATGTTTGCACCAGCCCTCCCCCCCCTCTAATTTTTGACCGGTCCCTTATTCATGCGAAAACGTTAAGAGGGCAAAAGAGGCCTAACAAAGGCGTTCTTTTGATTTTATTTTCTTGAAGCTTAAAATATTCAGTGAGAGGCCTAGTTAAAAGATATCTGTAATACGTATTTAAAAGGTACAAAATACATTTATGGTAAAAATCTTAAACCCAGGCTAATTTGAATGGAAAACATAATTGAAGATAGAATTACGAATACGAAATGCTGCATGCCTCTATAAATTCTAAATGGTCTGAAATATCGTATCGATCCGGGTTGTCATACATTATAGTATAAATAAAACAGTACGTTTCAACGAAGGAAAAAAACCTGTTTGTTTTCTCTCTGATTTTGAAAGGGTTTTAACTCAAAGATTTCCGGGAAAAAGATTTAAATTGACTTTGGAGGACTGCTGAATAAATTATAAATCCACTGTTACCGGAACTGGTCGAATTCATTCTCTGTCTATTTTGTGCTCTTCACTTTCTTTTCTCAATTATGTATCAAGGTTTAACAGTTTCAACATTTCGGGAATTTACAAACCACATAAACATCTATTTCCGCGTTGATTACACACACTGCCCATTGTCACGGCATGATCATGCATGATCGCACGTCACCATGCCGAATTTTCACTTAATGTTAACATTTTTCGAGATTGAATTCTTCACACATTTTTACATACAAGAATGAAGAGTTTAGTTCAGTTCTAAAGTAACCAAATTTTAAGAGCGAAAAAATACAAAATGAAAACATAACGATTACGTACCTCTCTTCAGCAATGTTTCAAATGTATTTGTTCCCCTTCTCTGAAACTCGACAGTTATTGCCTCGTTGCTAATTATAACAACGCAGCTTCAATAATAATCTCTCCTGTTCTTTATAATGAAAACAAGAT